CTCAATTGCTGATTCTCACACTTTCTCTTTCTTTCCTTCTCTAATGTTTTTATCTTTGTTATATAAGACCTATCAATATTATACTGATCTATTCGGCGTAAGCCTCTTACACATGCAGATGATTTTATTTCATTTAAATCAGTTTTCAATCACTTTATAACATTATTCAGATATATTATAGAAAGATCTGATTAATAAATATAAGAATCTCACTTCTATATAAGATTAGCAGATTACTCTTTCTTGATAATAAGACATTACTGAGATATCACTTCAGTTATTCTCACTCATGAAATGAGAGGAGAATATCTGCTCATTGCCTATATAGAATAGCTAGATGCTGGCTTCTCATTAAAGAAGTCAGTGATTTGTTTTTCTTCTACTGAAATATATACAAGAGTTACTATGTGTTTTATACAATCTTCTTAGTATACTAAGTATCATATCTGTGATATTCTTATAATAACTCTGTAGTCTATAAGCTCACTATTTAAGCAAGATAGTTAAGCTCACTTATACAGCTTCTTAAACAACTATCTCTACATGATACTGCTGACTAGTCATTACTTCGGTTTCATCACATTACACTATATGAAATAGTGACATCAGATGTCACATAGTGAGTGATAGATTATAATTTTCAGAACTTATAGCAATCAATGATTCAACAGTTTAAGTGACTAATAAAATTATTATAAAGATTCAGAGTGTCAGCACTGTATTCATTCTAATAAGTGAAAGATTAATAGAATTCAATTATATATACTACATATCAGAACTATCTGTAAATCTGATCTTCACTGAGCTTATAAAACATCAGAGCTATATTCACTGTAATATACAAGTTAATACTGAGAACTACTTTGAGTTTCTGTTATTAATTAACAGTGATATCTTCTATATTAATCTGTTTCACAATAATATTTACATTCTATTCAACAGCTTACTGACATTTCATGAAGTAATGAATAACTCAATGTATAAAGCAGTGATATATATGACTGTTCTGAAATCAAAGATAATCTCAATAGATTATAATTCAAGTGCTGAGTCTTTGAGATCTTTCAGCTGTGAGAAGATTGAACAGTTAATCAATTCTAAGAATTCAGATACTGATTTCTTTATTATCTCATCTTCATCTCAATTATCTACAGTTCTTTCAAAACAGCTTTTAATAGATGAGTGACATCACTGACTTGATTATATCAGTGAAAACAGTATATTAAAAATGATCAGAGACTCATAATTTAATATTATTATTATCAGTCTGAAGAAATTATTATTCTGTATCACATATGTTAAGATTAAATAGAAACACACTTTCTACAAGAATTTCACATCATATCATGTCACCTGCAAAACCTTGAAGATTTAAGTGAATATATTCAGTGATGATGAGACTCTTGAAACTAAAAATGATATATTATCTTACACTGACAAGAAGCTTACAATGATGATTATAGATAATATCATCTATATAAGATGAACATTTCTATTGAAATATAAGAATGAGATATTGAGATATCTACAGATTTTCAATCAATTTATCAAGAATCTGCTGAGACATGACATTGTAATTATTCACTCAGATTGTGAAGAATTGAATTCAAATACAGTCACAGCATATATACTCAGTGAAGATATAAAATAAGAGTTAACTCTCTCTTATACTTCACAGTAAGATGAAGTATCTGAACAATTGATTAGTTTGATTATTAAGAAGTCTCAATCACTATTAATAGACTCTTTAACTCTGAAAAAGATGTGAGATGAGATAGTTATTACAGTCACAGAGCTGCTTAATCTTATATCAATCTTAACAAAATTATATAGAGACTCTGAAAATACAAAGCTAATTACATTATATAAGACCTGGCTTGAAGCTCTACTCTCTGTATATAGTATTCACTGATAAGATTGTAAAGCATTCTTGAAGATAGTTTTTAAGCTTTTTAATAAGATAACTTTCTGTTTCAAAGAGTTGATTTTTATGAATTATAATAGTTTTATTAATTATAGATTGATAAATCTCTTCAACAGGCATTTATATATATTAAAAGACATTATCTTTCAGAAGAATCTTTATCTTATCAATTCATTGATACTGATAATATACAATCTGAAGATTCTACTTAATACAGTTTATAAAGCAGCTGCAGTGATTTCTTCAGTGATATCAGATCTACTTACTACAGTCTGTCAAGAGACTGTAGTAATTTCTGATTCATTAATTAATAATCTATTCATTGATGAGAAAATTCAATCTGAGTGTTTATTATTTCTTATACTCACTAATAATTAATGAATTGACTATGAAATCTTCATAAGAATATCTATCTTTTTAGTGTAGAATATACTAAACTCTTCAGAACTCACAGTTGAATCTAATAATTCTTCAACATCTATAAGAGATATCACTATAGTGAGAGAATTAACAGTGAAGAAATCTTCAGTAAGAGATAGTCTTGAAGATCTATTTATTAATTTCAAGATTACTACACTTCTGATTCTGAAAAACCTCACATATATCAAAGCTTTTATGAAATGAAAGTATTATTACAAGATCTGTGTTAAAGAGATCAATTATTTAAAATAGATAGAAATCTGATAACTGATTGAGAGAATATTATAAATGAGTGTTCTTTACAGTTAATAAGTATTTAATAAAAAGTTCAATAATATAAGTAATATTATTCACTATAAGATTCACTGAGTTATCTGTAGAAATCTTCAATAGAAAAGAGTTAATTACTTAAGAATCTTTACACTTATTATCTCTATATTCATCTCACAAGCTCTCATGACAATCTCAGTATCTCAGAGATAATATATTCTATAGATTGATATAATAACTGCTTTTTTAAACACTCAACTATCTACTGATGAATAGATATATATAAATCAACTCACAGAATTCTGTGAAGATTATGATAATCTTATATATAAGTTAATACAGAAACTCTACAGTCTTAAGCAAGCAGCACTCTTATGATATAAGAAGCTATGAAAGATACTATTATACTCAGACTTCTGTATCAGTCTCTATAATACTGAACTATTTATTTATAATGAAAGATAGATTTATATAATTATCTATATAAATAATGTCTGTCTCTACAGCTTAAAAATTAAAGATCTGAACTGAGTCAAAGTTAAAATCATCACTAATTATAAGATTAAGAATGTAGAGAATTTTAACTGCTATCTAGAAATAAAGATTAATAGAGATTTAACTTTATTAATATTATCTTAATCTCTCTTTATAAGAAATCTTCTGAAGAAGTTCTTAATAAATAACTATCATTCTACATTCACTTCTATAAAGAAGAATGTTAATTTCATGAATAATAATAAGAAACTGATTATATACACAGCAGAATTTACTCTACAGTTCTATCAATTCAGTATCAGATTTCTACAATATCTGATATTTAATACATGTTCTGATATGAGCTTCATTACAGAATTTCTTGAATAATTCAGCTCTCAGTCTACATTAAAGAACTGAGCTATATACAAGTGTATACTCTGATATCTACAGAGTTCAATCAATGAGAATATAATCTATCACAGAGGTGTCAAAATTGAACCTGTAGTATACACAGATGCTGATTGAGCCAGTAGAGATTCAGAATTTCATTCAATCATCAGTTATATCATCTACATGGCAGATGACCCTGTTGTATGACAGAGCTGCCGGCAAACAGAGATCTTCAAGTCATCAACAGAGACTGAATATATTGCATTCTTTAAGACTGTATATAAGCTTGTCTGTCTCTGAGAGCTTCTAGAAGACACTGAATTCATCTCATTCTATCTCAACAATCTGAATACTGATGATTATCTCATTCTCATTACAGTCAATAATCTGGCTTATATAATTCATACTGATAATAAGCCTGTTATAGAGCTATTCTCTTTCAAAGCAATTTCACACTGCTCAAAGTATATAGAGATTCATTTTCACATTCTTCAGAATCTTATTCATAAGAATAAGATATCTATTCAATATATTTTATCTGCTGAGAACACAGTGAATGAGCTTACTAAATCACTTGAAACATTGAAATATACACATTGAAAGGAGATTATGAAGATGAAGGGATAGAGGGATAAAAAATGATGTATATCATGACTGGTTTTTCATTACTTCACATTTTCCAGTCATTTTTTGTACCTGTACTTGATTTGAAGGCGAATTTTGTATATAGCATTGTGTATAGTTACTCTGGTGAGTGGGGGTGTCAGGTCACATGATCTGGCTTACTAATCCTTCCACCATATAACTTTCCACAGCTAGCAACCTTTCAATCACACAAGCTTTACACCTTCCACAGTTACAACTCCAGCATTTGGATGATTTAAGCCCAGCCCAACTGCTGGGCTGCCAAGGCGCTAAATGAGCTTATCTCCACCATATCAAACCTTAAGTGGCATGGGGCAGAGGAGCAACCAGGCTGGAGGGTGCTTGTGAAGTGGTGAGCTTGTTGTGAGTTGAAGTCGCGAGCCGGAGGGAGATAGCTGTTGCGTGATCACACATTGTACGACCATGTTGGAGTGCGATTCGAGTCAATAAAGCGACGGGCAACAGCAGGGCCTCGGTTGCCACTTGCCCCTGTGAACCCCCCCACCGTATGTTTTGCTCTAGGGAACCCCACGGGGTACTCGAGCTTGACAAAATCTGATCTAGAATCTATGGCGGTTTACCTATATAACGTGGGGTGGCCTGGATGTTCAGCGTTGTCGCCCGCAAAACAGTTTTCAAATTACCTTTTTGCCTGCTTTGAGCAATCCTCCAACATGATTGACGAAAAGAAGTCCCTCTCTGAGGCGGAGGGCGCTGCCGGCCTTCCAGACTTCAGCCATATCGATGAGAAGAAGGTTTTACGGAAAATGGATCTCCGGTTAATTCCAATCATGTCGCTTCTTTATTTACTTGCTTTCCTTGACCGGGGCAATATTGGCAACGCAAAGATCGAGGGATTGGAGGCGGATCTTGGTTTGTCTGGTTCACAGTACAACTGGTGCCGTAAACTTACCCTCCTGCCCCTTTTTTTCTTCATTTGTGTGGATATTGGGCCTTAAAACTAAGCATGATAGCTTCGTACTTTCAGTGACGGTCTTCTTTTTCCCTTATGCGTTCTTTGAGCTTCCGTCAAATCTTGTTTTGAGCAAGATGCGGCCCTCGATTTGGTTTCCATTGATTATGGTCGCGTGGGGGCTTGTAATGGTTCGTAAATGTGACCCCTTAGATGTCCAATTTCTTCTCCACGTTTCTCTGGTGTGAGTATGCGTACTAATCTAAACCGATAGACCCTGATGGGAATTGTTCACAACTATACTGACCTTCTAATCGCTCGCATATTCCTCGGTCTTGCTGGTACGATGAACCCTCTCCCTTCCACTTGGTCTTCTTACTCTCTATCTCCATGCTAAGCCGCCTCGTTTTATAGAAGCTGGTCTTTACCCGGGCGTCGCTTTTTACATTACGAAATGGTATTGTCGACATGAAGCTCAGCTCCGGCAAGCTTTATTCTTCAGCGCGGCTAGCGTAGCTGGCGCGTTCTCTGGCTTGCTAGCTTTCGCAATTGCCGTAAGTTCATGCCCCGCTGTATGCGCATTCCATTAGCCATTTGTTTTATTAACTTTGTCAAAGAAAATGGATGGTATTGCTGGACTAGAAGGCTGGAGGTGGATTTTCATCCTAGAAGGCATTCTCACAGTAGTCGTCGCTGTTTTAGCCTTCTTCGCCATTCACGACTATCCAGAAACCGCCAAATTTTTAACTGAGGAGGAAAGAGACTGGGTTATCCATAGGTTGCGGTATCAGTATTCTGATAACGCCGTGGACAAGGGAAAATTCCAATGGAAATATGTCAAAGATGCCTTGTTGGATTGGCAAGTGTACCTTGCCCTAATCAGTAAGGCTATCGAATTTCCAATACACGCCTCTATTTATCTTCCAATAACTAATTAACCATTAATTAGCCTGGTACGGAATCGTGTGCCCACTGTACGGCATTTCCTTCTTCCTGCCGACAATCATTAAGGACTTGGGTTATACTTCCTCAACGGCGCAGCTTCTGACTGTAAGCTCTTATTGTCACTGAAATTTTGTTCATCGTGTTGAAGAAAGAGCTGATGTTATTCCGTTAGATCCCCATCTACATCGTCGCTGCATTAATCGCTGTTCTATCCGCGTGGCTGTCTGATAGACAGGGTCAACGCTCACGCTTGCTTTTCTTCCACTTGCTATGCGTTGCTGCGGGCTACATAATAGTTATTGCTGCTTCAGGAAGAGGTGTTCCGGGTGTTGTATATTTCGGGACATTTGTGCTCGTATCGGGTGAGCTTTTCTCTATTCGGAACCCCTATCTACCCTGCTTCTAGGGTAATTATGTTTGGCGGGTTGCTAACAATCGATGATACTCCAGGAATATATCCCGCTCTTCCTGGAACTGTAACATGGTTGAGCAACAACTTGGCTGGTGACTATAAACGAGCGTCTGGTATGGCGATACAGATTGGTATTGGAAACTTTGCTGGAGGTACGTAGCGCAGGGAAAGAAACACAGGGGATGAGCAAAGACAAAAAATACAATCCGCACAGATCTGCTAACTTAAGTTGTTTTTCCACTATAGCAATGGCTTCCAACTTCTACCGAGCTCAAGACGCCCCAACATATTATCTTGGCCACGGTGTAGAGCTTGGATTCGCAGTTTTCGGCCTCCTCGCCGTCATTGTCCTCCGAGTTGCCTACCAGAGAATCAACAAGAAGAGGGAAGCGCTAGCGCTCGAGCACAACTATACGCCCGAGGAGCTGAGTAAAATGGGAGATCGGGCGCCAACTTTCAAGTATATGTTATAGAGAGTTTGCGATTTTTCTTATTTCCTCGGTTTTCCTTTTTTTCGTTGCCTCACTTCAACATGCAAGGTCTTGCAGGGTTACGGAATTTACCAAAGTAGTTAATATACACGATATTGGATTTTTGGATAGAGGTGTTTTTGTGACGACTTGAGGCTATTTTGCACGATTGATGATTAGAACAGAGCTTGATGCCATAGAAATAGATAGATTTGGTTTTATTCAATTACTTATTCAAATGATATTCAACGCGGGCTACTCCCTAACTCGTTCCAATCCAGCTTCGTCAATCCTAGAGTATCCATATCCTGTTAATATTGGGCGAAGGCTGTGGAGGATTTAACTCATAATGTAGGCAGGTAGGCCTTTCAATATCACCGCATGACCTAGCTAAACCCTAAAATCAATCCGTATAGGCCTGAGCTGAGAGATAGGACAAAAAATTTAAATTTATCTAGTTTCATGCCAGCGAGGCCTAGGTAAGAGGACAGATCACAAAACGCGAAAAGTCACACGCTGAGAATGAACCCATTTTGGAGTGTTATGATGGCCGGGTAGGACAATAGTGGTATTGCAAAAGTATTCTTCGGCTTTTGTATCTAGCTTTGGTAGCATACTAGGCAGGAAAATATCAATCGCCTCCATACTAGGACTTTTATATAACTTATACATTCATCTGACCCATACAGGCGCGCTTGTCCCGTCTCGACGTTCTCCAACCACATATTCAACTCCTCTGTAGCTCTGTAGTATCTATTAGCCACTATGCCTTTTATTCCACAACAAGAAGAATACATATATATATCTCATCTCTTCAGGCGGAATACGTACCACTGAAAAAAACTGACCCCTTCCCTGAAATTTTATTCCACTTCTTAACAGCAATAGGCCGCATTGCCTAGATTTCTACAACACATCCCTCCACAATCTGCGGATAGTACCTTTTCCAAATAAGCGGAGCAGGTATAAACAACGAGAGTACCATGAGGCCCGATTGCACACCAATATTTGCCTGGTGGCGAGCAGGCCTCGCCGGCGGCCATTGAAACGAAAGCAGCGATGCTTGCGAGGACGAGGAGGCGCATTTTGTAATCGTGCAGTTTGGGTAATCGTTGGGATGGGGGTGACTGAAAAGTTGAAACTGATAGAGGTGATTTTGTGTGGCAGAATTGTGGACGAGAAGTGGATGAAATAGAGAGAGAATTGACTATACAAAGGAGAAATAGGGAGATTTTTATATGATATACTCAGAGGGGGGAAGGGGGCAAGACGGCGAGAAAAAAGAGGTTTGGCACGAAACGATGGAATGGGAGCTTCAACATGCAGCCTGCATACAGCTATAAAATAACAGGTGCGCGGTGAAAACGAACCACTTGGCTCTCAAAGATTGCCCACGGCGCATCTCGATGCGCGAAATTATATGAACCAGTCCAGTTCTTGTGCTCAGGGTGGTCAACCGATTGTTGCAAGCCCAGCCAATATTACCGAAGACTTCCTCCAGACAACACCTTGGCACGCCAGTATGTCTCTTTCGAGTGCACCGCAATGACAAAGGGCTGCAGTATCATTTAAGAAGCCAAGCCATCGATTCATATACAGCAGTGGAACGCAGAAAACACCAAGAAGTCGAACCAACAAATCAACGATGTATTCTGTTTTCGAAGCAGTTGCTGTTACCAGAATCGCCGCACCGGCATTCATATTATCTTCTGGTTGGGAAACTAACACCCACAACGTTTCCCCTTTCCTTTGACTTTCATTTCTTTCGCATGCGTGCATGCCAATTTAACCCACCGCAGGTATAACCATGGAACATGCGACTCCCCGCATCCTATCACATTCTGTAGATCTCCGGGAAAGCAGAGTTACTAGCTGCCCTTCTCAAATCTTCAGAAAATTCCGGTCGAAAAGTTATCTTCGGCTGTTGTTCAGCAGCGTTGCTAGTGTCACTGAAGTTCAACTGCAACGGCATCATATAAGTAAATCTAGGCAATAAAGTTGAGTTCATTGTTCGTATTGTAAGGTATGCTGCAGCACTGTGCAGCGCACCATCATCAGCGTAGAGTGCGCATATACCTCTGCGTATATATGTATATGTATATATATATATATATTTATATATTTGCTGCATGTAGTTGCAAAATGTACGTATGTTAGCACAAGTATTATGAGCCGAAAACTGCTTTCCTAGAATCTAATTAGTGATTATAGCGGTGAACAATTCATAAAACCGGAGCTAGTTCTCAAATAGACTTCTCCATTCATGATCAATTGAGTATGTTATTATGTCTTTGTGGCACTGGATGCTGCTTAAGATATGTGGTTGCATTTCTCTTCTGGACTCAGGCTTAATTGCGATTTCGCCCTACCAAAAACCAACTACAGGTACATGTGCATGTAGTTGGTGAAAGAAGTGAAGGTGCGATTATCGCAATTGTTCATTTTTGACAGGGTCATGGATATTTGATCTTTGTTGTCTAGTCCTTTCCACCAGCCCATCAACCAAGGCTCGTAACTATCCGATAGGGTCGTATACCAGCCATCAGGTAAACCAGCACAGGTCCTATAGTTATGCTTGCGATGGGGAGGGTTGGTAATGGGTACCAAAAGCTTTTCGCTTTCCGCAGTGATGGAGTAGTATGATGATGTGCAGTGGCAGTGCCGCCATCGGTTCACTGAGCCCGACGAAGTTATCCTGAGTGGTTGACTTGCCTGGTCCACACGCATCAACGCCACAAGCACATCCACGAAGCTGCACATTTCGTGGTCATTTTTAGCGGCCTCTCAGTTGGCAATTTGCTGGAGTTCAAGTTGCGGTGTTATTATTTCCTCTCCTTTCCAACCCGCGGAGTTTCGGAGTGCGCTGACTAAGGTCGCAGGGGGCTGGCGAGTAGCGCGTTTCCCCTAGCCGCGCTAAACAGACAACTAGTTTATCTTTTTTCATCCAACAGGCGCAGAGCCGACGATTCGCCCTGGCAGTAATATGGTTGCATTCGGCTTTCACCGTGCTAAAATTTGAAAAAAAGAAGTTGGGTGGGCAACTCATGCACCACAATAGCTGGCAAGAGACAGCGTACCGTTGGACTGACATCATTGCACGTTGCAGGCAAGCTAGCTATGAACACCTCAAACATGGGACGACTCGAGAAGTACGAGCTGCACTACCTGTAGTCATCCATAGTGTTTCCTTGACTATTGCTCCTAGGGAGTGTACGTCATTTTGTGGAGGACGGATATCAATGACGTCCACGAGTCTGCCTATTGAGACGTTAATAGGGTTCAACTCCTGTACGGCCACTAGGCATTGAGAAACGCTTTCACTGCACCTTCTGGATTCCTTCGTCCCGTTCACCTGGTATTCATATCTCGGCTTTGATTCACCGTGATTAAGTTCAACGAGACAGCGCTGTTGTTTCGCGTGCGGGAATATGCAGATGAGAACTATTTCCCACCAACCTCGGCCCCAAGGCCGACTTTCCTTGCAAATTTTAGAGCAAGCACTAACTAGGCTTGGGGGAAAAAAGAAAAGACTTCATCAAATCGCCTCCCCTTGGCCGAACTCACTCCGGTAAACCAGCGGAGCTGCGGGCCCTAGCTGAGCCGACAGGAGGCCCAATGGAAGTTTAGAGAGGCGAGGCGGGAAGTTTCAACCGAATAACTTCGCGCCAAGAAGATGGGACAGCTTCAAGATCTACGGAGCACTTGGACGTTAATTTAAAGGGCTTGAAACCCTAGAATACGAGAAATTATTCGGTGGTAATCACCGCTGGAACATGCATAGATAGGGCATCCAAAACTTGACCTATTAATAGTGTCCTTCGGCAGTTGGGGGAAGAGCTCGGGGCTGACAGTTTTGTCGTGGCAAATTTTAGTGGATGGATAGTGCCTGGCATCCTCATTTCTAGCCCCTGGCAGCTGAATAAACTACATGATTCGCAACGGCAGCACTGCAATGGTCCAAGAAGACTAAACTTTGAAACCATGTTCGTCAATTTAACCTCCAAAACCATTTACCGCGAGGAGACTGGATTTGATGAAAACCTTAAGATTGACATCAATTTTGCAGAGATGGAGCTCATTGCAGTCCTTAAGAAGTCAGAGGTATCATGGATATTCCATGTCAACTATTTTGGCAAGCCATGGGCTTTGAAAGTTGTATGTGCTTTCAGCAAGGGTGCATTTCAACTTTTCTACTTGCTAACAATGCGGACACAGTCTCCACAACAATGAAGATCCTGGATACACCAGCGACGGCCTTCGCGATTTGAATCGCGCTCGCTGTCAAATCAGAGCATATTGCAGCCTGAAGCGGTTAAAAATATGTGATGGTGGCTTTGTATGTACCACAGTTTCTATTGCTATATGATTGCTATAAACGCGACATTAATTTTCCCAGGCAATTCTGATTGAGTACCTTCCAAATCCTCTTCCAATGAACTCCAACACTTATAGCAAGAAGTGTTTTGAGAAGGTCAATATTGGCATTCAACAGATTCATTTGGCTTTGATTCTGCATAATGATCCTTATTCAAAGAATGTTTTGATTGTTCCTGGTGATCCTGAAAGGGTTGTTTGAATAGATTTTGATGTTGCAATTGTTTACTCTAATGAAAACTGCTTGTTTGTTCTCCCAAATAACGCACCCTTCCTTCTGACAATTTCAGAAAGGCTGACAAGCTCCACAGGAAGAGAATCAAAGGGATGGCCTGCCCCCAAATTTCAAAAACTACTAGAACCATGACTTGTTATCCTGCACATAGATCCACCTGAAAAAGGGGTGAAATTATAGGAGCTGCCAGTCATTATTTGCCGCACTCATACATCTCAAGATACCACAGTCCTAGAAGAATAGCCAACTGTTCAGGTTCTTTTTTTCCCATTGCATAGACTGTGCAAGCTGGAGTCGGCCATTTCCATCAAGCTGCTTAATGAGTATCAATTCAGTATCTGTCAAGACAAAATCATACTGAGTGTTATTTTGTTTCATGTAATAGTTGATGTGTGACAAAACCTGGTAAAATTCCCTTTGTTTTGCCTCATTCAATGCTATTTCCCATGACACTTTTAGGTTACTGAGACAGTGGTTTGGCAAAGTACCCAGTAGGCTGCCTGTCAGGAAAAATGCAATGTCTGATCAATGATACCTGCTGCATCTCCTATATTGATTGTCATAGGAGTAAGATGCAGATTTGAGAGCTGAGATGTGAGATGCTGGAAACCCACTCACATGATGCAATTGATTATGAATATATATGTTGAAACGGAAGGCGAACATCGGTTCAGTCTTTATAGCTGATACAGAGCTATTTGGCATTGATTCACTCTCAATCTGTGTTTGCTGAAGCACATTCCCATAATGCTGCATAATATGAGCATATTTTGTTCGTATTCTCTGTAGGGATGTCCGGAGGTGCCAGCATCAGGTATTTAATTGAGAGTCTGGTTGTTGGCCATAGCTGTTCCTGTTGATTTCTGAACAACTGAACAAGAGGGCAAAATCCCTTCTGCTGTGATGGCTTGCATCATGCCTTATAAGCTCAGTGTCTCTTGCATAACTTCCCCTCACTTTGACAATTCTCATTGGGAAAATACAGATACACCAACTTTGTTAGTTGCTCAAAGATGGTGAGAGTGAGGCAGGCAAGGGTGAGGAGGAGGGTGGGGAAGAGGCGAGGAAGAGGTGAGGATATAGCATTGATATGCTCGCGCTAATCCAGAGGGGGGAAATCTATATCTTCCAAAATATAGATAAAAATAGGTGATCTCATACGGCCGTACGAGAACAACTTTAAGGCGACGGACCGGCCAACAAGATAGAGTTGAACCTTGACGTTGCGAAACGCGCAACAGACCATCAGGTTAGTTAAACCCTTGCTTGGGACTACGGACGCCCAATCTGACTAGCTCGTTCTAGGGCGTAAGTTAAGAGAGACGATCCCGCATAGAAGACTTCTTTTGCCTTGGACTGGCTGCCATCTGTTCGATCATCGAGCACTTGCTACTCACCGATAAATCCGCCATTGCATCAGTTATCCGCCTGATGCCGGTGGACGAGAATGCCATGACTTGGTTCGGCTCCAGCTTGCGTCTCTCCGTTTCCATCAGGAGTAATGCGACGTTCCATTAAGGCCGGGCTGGCTCATGGTGATTAATTGCCGGTGAAGGGGCTAAGCCGTTGGGCTGAAGGGGCGTCTAGTCTCCATCGAGGGTTACTAGGGCACTATTTTACAGCTTCGACGGGGCCATTTATTTGGCCGATTGCCCTACGCCAGAGCCCCTCATGGCTCAAATATAACTATCAGAGGAACCTCAAGCTCTCTTCTCTAGTACCATCTGTCAGTGTTGTGATTAATGTTGCTTTGGCCCGACCTGTTTGTTTCTGACAGTTCCTGGGTTTCGTATCCCGACACAGAGTTGAACCCCTCTTTTTACGCTCAATCCAAGGCCCTCATCTGGCACTCCTTTCGCAAGGGGCTTTTATTGCACACAAAATCCGCGAATATTGTCTGTCCCCTGTTGGGCTTGGTCTCATAAATGGACTATACATACTACCAGCCACCGTTTCAGCAGCAATACTCGCCGTATCAAATACCACATCCACAGCAGACCGAAGTCGCTCAGCAGAGCCAATTTCATCAGCGGCCCGGTGGTGTAAGTCGAGCTTCACCTCCATAAAGAGGTCTCAGTATCCGCTATTGCGTATTTACTGACGCTGATACTAGGACCATTATGATCCCCGTTTCCAACCATTTGATACCCAGCTTCATTTTGACTCTTCTACTCTCATGGGAGTGCATTCACTGCCTTCGCCGGGCCATTATGGGAAACATGTAACTGATTCCCAAGTTAGCGATGGTGGCGGAATTGCACGAATTACTCTTGAGAATGGAATGGAGGACTTTCCGTCCGACAAGACCCTACCAAGGGGTAGTAGCGAAGAGAAGGAAACGTTGACACCGGCTCAAAGTAGGCGTAAGGAACAAAACAGAGCTGCGTATGCAATAACTTTCTTATATCCATATCAGTTATCTATACTAGCGTTCTTTGCACTTTATTGCTCAATACTGACTGCACTGGCAATAGCCAACGCGCGTTTCGCGAACGAAAAGAACGCCGTGTTCGTGACCTCGAACAGGAATTGAATCAATATAAAAGCAACTATTCCTCACTCATGGAAGACCACAGAAGTTTAAAAAGGCAAATAGAAAAAGTTGCGACGGAGAATGAAATTCTTCGAGCTACATCGAACAGCAACGCGCAGGGATCGATTGCCGACTATGGGCCTAACCGGGTACCCACGCCAACCGGCCTACTGAGAAATTTATCTGATTATTCTTCATGCAGTGGAAATAAGAGAGAACTTGCCTCTCGCACTTTGAGTGGTAACGGGAAGCCGGGGCAGAAACTGCTAGACGCATCCGCTACGTGGGATTTGATCGTGCGTCATTTGTCAAGCCGGGGTGTGAAGCTCGACATCCAGGACATATACGACAGGTTAAAGAGCCACACCCTGCCTGATGGCAAAGGTCTTGTTGTCGATGAAGCACATGTGCTTCAGGTTATTGAGGAGAGTGCGGCCGCAGGGAGCGATGAACTCATTTAGATTTTACCCAATGTCCTTAGCATCCCCTTCGCAACACTTTCTCCACATTTGTTCTCAGCCATACCAGCAACGATCCGTTCAATACAACTATGTTCCCCTGTATTTATCTCCGTTGAAGGCAAATATTGTGGTTACGTTTAATATACATATATCCCTTATTATTGGAATTTCTTTGACTGAATACCAATTAATTGCTTACACAGCATATCCCACCCATGCCTCTGTTGGTCGAAATTGTTGTCCCTTGTTATCTTCGACAAGTGGAGATATATCCTGAAATTAACCTCCACATTTTTAATTATCTTGGGTTTGATCGTTTTTAGCCTGGAGTTCAACCTGCTGCATGTCTTTCTCCTTGATATCTAATACATTACCTTGTTTCAGCTTGGCATTTTGCATAAAAAAGAGTACATAATTATCCTTTAGATATATTTTAGATATATATTATAGCTATCCTATCAATATCGGAATAAGCACATTGTGTGACTCGAACCTTGTCAACTACTGAATAGACTTTTTAACCTAGGGGCAGTACGCATACCCTGAACTCTGTTTTGAATGAAGGAAACTGTTTATCGACAACTATATGAAAATTAGGATGAAGGAGAGGGCGAGGAAAGAGGACAACACAGATCGATCAATCAAGGCGTGAGGGGTGTATATATATGTTTGTTTCCTTTCAAACACAATGTTGTAGATACCTAGTGAACCAAATAGTTTACATAGGTAATGAGATGAAACGAACCTAGGCATTTCTCTCAATTTATCCAATGGACAGTTGTGGCGCGGTTTTCTTTTGCAGGCAGAGTAGACCACAACAAAGAATAACATGTCCTGCCATCAAAACTGATGAATTTCTGACCAAAAAATCAGAAGCTTAGAACCACAAATATGGAAAATATTGAGAAGATGAAAAGGACAAATCATCATAGAGGTAACTTCAAACAGATATTCCCTTCCCTGGGGGTTTAAAAAACGGGTTGAAGAATCCGAGGAAACGAAAATAAGTACGTCGCTTTTGCCATGATTTATTTTTCCCATTGATTTCAATCCCAGTCATCAAGATATTCTTCATCGGCATCGACTAATTTGGGAGTAGGGTCCTTTCTCAGGCGGCTGTCATTTTCATTGATAGCTCCTAAAGATACAAGGAGCTGTTCAAGATCTACAGTTGAATTGTACATGTTAGCATTTCCCATATCAAATCTTGGGGTCATTGCGGGTGAACAAAAAATATAGAGTATTTACCCCCAAGAGTAGTTTTCGGCCCTCTGAGTTCCCTAAGTGTAACTATTTGCCTTTTGATGTCTCCATCCTTATAGGCAAGTATCGTCGGAGTGTTCCTGTCTGGGTATCCTTCTATACACATGTCCGCGCGTATCTGGCAGAACTTTATATCTCCATATTTCATCGCGAGTTGGCGCCATAGCTCTGCGAGTAATTGCGACTCGATATTATTAACGCTCGAGGAGGTGAGGTTGACGAGAACGAAATATTTCGACGACGCTTCGGTGACGTCCTTCGCGTAGTCTGGTTTCTGGATCGGGTAGACTTGGTTGTGAATATTTGATTTTTGGAGGCGAGAAATCTCTTCAAAGCGCTGCTTGCTGAATTACCAATCCCTTAGTGACGATGCCAACGGCTAATACGCCAACACACCTATATATAAATGGAGACAACTATGTTTCCGTAGGCGCGGGGTCTGCGAACCGGTATCTTTCAAGGAATTCGGCTTCTTCCTCATCTTCGAGCGCATCAAGCTCATCTAATGTTTTATTCTCGAGTCGATTTTCGTGTTCTCGATGTGCGGCTTCCAGAATCGCCTCTTCTATAATCGGGGTGGGGGAGGGGGGTTTCTCGGGAATTATACCATGTTTACGGAGGATGTCGTTCCTGTGGATAGTTAGCAGCCTAGCAGGAGAGCGGTGGCAGCGGAAAGGGTATTAATACGGACCATTCCGTGTCAGCACTAGGGTTATCAACGGGAACATTAACTGGCATATCCATGTTGTCTGTAGCTGAATCAATGATGTTGCTGGATACTTTCGTATGTAGATGATGCAAGGCGGTAGCAATACGCTGTTTGTACTGTTTGCTCAGCCACTGTGGCTGCCCGTCCCACACTGCACCCTTTCCAGACACAAGCCAGAGGCAACGTGTATCTGAATGTCCTTGCAACAACAGTATATCTAGACTCTGCCCGACACGCCGCGATCAGCTGTCTCCAATCCTCCGCTGGCGCAAGATCTCCCTTGATTGATTGCTATCTGCTTCTTTGGCAAATTATGAAGGCTCGGTAGTCAACTCCGCCCTTCGCACTTATCGCCCTCACCACTCCTAACAACCCGACCCGGCGTTCAGCTCCTGACACTTCTAGTTCCGGGAATCATTGCCTACGCCCAATCTACATTCCGCATTGCCAACATGGGTTACGCTAAGAAAGACGAAGATGCCGACCAGATAATGATGAAGTTGGATAGAACTTCTGTTTTCCAAGATGGTAGGTGATAGATAGCATGCAGAACGGACTTGGAGCATGATCGGCTAAGACTGACCTTGGGAATAGCACGATTATTCAATTCCTCGCCCATATCCCCGCGAAGATGTCGGACTCTTCTTACCAAAATCGCCGTCTTGCTCTTCACGGGGGAGAAGTTCCCGACGAACGAGGCCACGACGTTGTTCTTTGGCATCTCGAAACTCTTCCAGAATAAGGATCCCTCCCTACGGCAAATGGTATATCTAATTCTAAAGGAGTTGGCCGGTACCGCAGATGATGTTATTATGTCTACATCCATCATTATGAAAGATACCTCCGTTGGAAGCGATGTCCTCTATCGGGCTAATGCCATTCGAGCCTTGTGCCGCATAATAGATGTACGATCCGCCCCCTTAAAATTGAAATTTTTCGTGTATATACTGAGTATCAAAGGCTACAACGGTTCAAGCGATTGAACGTCTGATAAAAACCGCGATTGTCGACAAAACACCTTCAGTTTCGTCAGCTGCTCTTGTTTCCTCATATCATCTTCTCCCCGTCGCCCGAGATGTCGTTCGAAGATGGCAAAGCGAAACCCAGGAGGCTGCGTCATCTGCTAAACAGTCCACCAGTTTCCTCGGCTTCACAACAAGCGGACAAGCCCATTCTATCTCACAAACCAACTACATGACCCAGTACCATGCAATTGGTCTTCTCTATCAAATGCGGGCTCACGACAGAATGGCTCTGGTAAAGATGGTTCAGCAGTACGGTGCGGCGGGTGCAGTCAAGAGCCCTGCTGCGCTTGTGCTACTTGTCAGGCTGGCTGCCAAATTGGCGGACGAGGACCAGAGCCTTCGAAAACCGATGATGCAGATGCTCGACGGTTGGCTCCGACACAAGCATGAGATGGTAAATTTCGAGGCTGCCCGAGCAATATGTCAAATGAGGGACGTCACAGATGCGGAAGCATCCCAAGCGGTTCATGTCCTCCAGCTGTTCCTTTCCTCTCCTCGTCCTATCACCAAGTTTGCCGCAATCAGAACCTTGCACAGCCTGGCCTCCTTCAAGCCCAACGTTGTGAATCCATGCAACCAAGATATTGAGGCCTTGATTTCCAACAGTAACCGATCCATTGCGACGTTTGCAATCACCACTCTTCTCAAAACCGGAAATGAAGCTAGCGTTGACCGTCTCATGACCCAGATTTCTGGATTTATGGCCGATACTACTGACGAATTCAAAATCACTATTGTTGAGGCTATCAGAACGCTCTGCCTTAAGTTTCCTAACAAGCAGGCCGGTATGCTTACGTTCCTCAGCGGTATACTCAGGGATGAAGGTGGCTATGAATTTAAGAGAAGCGTAGTCGAGAGCATGTTTGACCTTATCAAATTTGTCCCTGGAAGCAAAGAAGAGGGTAAGTTTATCTTGTTCGTTTTAAGGTTGCTATAAACTGACGTGATCTAGCGCTCGCACATCTGTGTGAATTCATTGAGGATTGCGAATTCACCAAGCTCGCAGTCAGAATATTACATCTCCTGGGTGTTGAGGGACCCAAGACTTCACAACCAACGAAGTACATCCGGTATATCTATAATAGAGTTGTTCTGGAAAATGCTGTTATTCGTGCTGCTGCTGTGACAGCATTGGCCAAATTTGGCGTTGGTCAAAAGGACCCAGAACTTAAAAGAAGTGTAAATGTTCTTTTGACCCGATGCTTGGATGACACCGATGATGAAGTCCGTGATCGTGCGGTGCTTAACCTACGACTGATGAAAGAGGAGGATGAGCTGGCGGAAAGATTTGTTAAAGCCGGTAGGCCTCCATGGCTGCGTGCGAAAATTTTGATAGACGTGCCTAAACTAATGACTCTCAGATTCGATGTTTTCCTTGTCCACCTTTGAACATCAGCTAGTCATGTATGTGACTGCGACAGACAAAGAGACTTTCGCGACGGCGTTCGACGTCAACACCATTCCCATTGTATCACAAGAGCAAGCCCTTGCTGAAGAGCGAACCAAGAAGCTTACGACTGCGATACCAACTCTTAAAGCCCCGTCTATGACTCCGTCAAAGGCCAAACCAACTGCTGGAGCCGACGGAGTTGCTGCCGCGGCTGCTTCGACTCAAAAATATGCCCAGCAACTCGTCCGAATACCAGAGCTCAAGGCTTATGGAACGCTTCTCAAATCATCTGTTCCTGTTGAGCTGACCGAGAGCGAAACGGAGTATGTCGTCAGCGCAGTTAAACATATCTTTAAGGAGCATATCGTCTTGCAGTATGATATCAAAAACACATTGCCAGACACGTTACTTGAAGATGTTTCAGTTGTCGCTTCTCCGGAGGACGACGATGAATCATTGGAAGAAGATTTCATCGTCCCAGCGCCGAAGCTTATGACGAATGAGCCCGGAATAGTTTATGTTGCCTTTAAGAAACTTGGAGGCGAACATGATTTCCCTGTAACATCGTTTACGAACAACTTGAAGTTCACCAGCAAAGAAATCGACCCTACCACTGGCGATCCAGAAGAGACTGGCTACGAGGATGAATATCAGGTTGAGGATTTGGATCTCACTGGTAGTGACTATGTCATTCCAGCTTTTGCTGGCAGCTTCGACCACGTCTGGGAGCAAACTGGCGCCAACGGTGAAGAAGCTACCGAAACTCTCCAACTTTCTAACGTGAAGGGCATTGAAGGTAAGTTACGCATCCTCATGTGGATATTTTCTTTTGCCTTTTTGGTGCATTCACCCTTTCAAAGGTTATTTTTATTAACTGCTTGCTCTCTCCTACACGTAGATGCAACCGAGCAACTCGTTGCAACGCTGTCACTTCAGCCACTCGAAGGCTCAGATGTCGTGCTCAACAATACCACACACTCACTGAAGTTGTATGGCAAGACTGTTTCGGGTGGTAGAGTGGCGGCTTTGGTGAGAATGGCATATTCGGCTAAATCTGGTGTGACGACTAAAGTAACCGTTCGTGCCGAAGAAGAAGGCGTTGCTGCGACAGTCGTCGCATCTGTCGCATAATTCGAACCTACTATTTTCTTTTGCCTTTGAAAAATAGCGCCTGTCGATTAGATAATCAATAATCCTCTCTAAGTTAGCTAGTTAACTAACTAACCACTCCCCCTCTCTCTCTTCCCGCCCTCTCTTTTTTCCCTGACAATGACGGGGTGTCCGACGCATGCTTTCTCTTTGTGAGTGTTTGCCAAAGCTTTAAATATTAAGTACAGTGTTTGTGGAAGAAGTCGTACATATCACATATTGTTCTCCTTCCATGCTCATACAAGTCTTCTTCGAATTGAGCACGTTATATTTCTCCCTTCATGCGTTTCTCGCTTCTGGCTACTCTTACTACCTATTTCTAGTTTGCGCATTCGATTATTTTTTTTTACTCTCTTTATTGATCTTCCTTTTAATAGCAGTAATCATGAACTTTTCTCAAAGCTAGTGCGACAGTCAAAGATTAACGTAGAGCATTTATTTTCTTGTTGTCCATTCCATATGGATAATCTCCTTCTATAAAGTGTAATATCTAAAAGTTCCCGAAAACGCATAGATCATTTCATAAGGGTCATTGCTTTCGAAATGCAAGAAAAAGAAATCAGTAGCCAAAACACCTGAACACCTACATATACACACAGAGGGTCCGGCCCATATAACAGCGATCAACTAAAATGATAAACTCCAACAGGGAGATCCCCACTCTCAATTTCATTCATGGAATGCCCCGCCCTCCGGGCGCTGTACCGCAACAGCTCGTCAAGTTCATCATCCGACACCCTCCTCAGCCGCGATGGGTGAGATTCGTGCAAGCCCAGCAATCGAAGGTTTCTCAAGCCCCCATCTAGTGCGTCCACAAAATCTTCCTTTGAAAAGTCCGGGAATCCCTGGGATTGTTCCAAGGCGAGGATTTCTAACAGTAGCGGCCGGGGGAATGAAGCGAGGGTGTGAAAGAAGCGGGGCTTGGCCAGATCTCCCTGGATCGAAAGATATAGTAGGTTCGGAATGCAGTGAAGAAGCAGTTCTGCATGTTCCGGCGTGTGATGTATTTCATAGGGAATTCTCAGGCTTTTCAAGTGGGTGCGTAAATATGGGTTGCCCAGTACTGCTGGTATCACGTCTGGCTCTCTGAGGGCGTTCCCCGCAAGTGTTAGGCTGGAGATTTTCGGCGGCCAGACGAATGCGTGCATAGTGGCAGCATCAAGTTTTCCGCTGATTTCAAGCTTTCTGAGATTTGGTGGCCAGGGCAGGTGAATTCCGGCCGTACTTATGCTTGTGCTTCGAGATAATCGCAAACGGCGGAGATTATCTAGATATTGGATGGCCTTTTTCACCGCCTCGAATTCGAGTTTTCTTATTACATGTAGTAAATCTATGGAGCGAAGTTTTGTGCATTTGGAAAGAGAGCCGAGGTTAATTGTCCTAAATGAATAGATTAGAACTTGTATATTGGCCTTGGTAATTAGGTATCCGGTATAATGGCAAGGGAGACTCCCCCATCTTCCAAAGGCCCAACATGTCGGTGAACGGCGCGCAGTTTAAGCATATTTTTAAAAGAGCTGGTTACTTACGAAAAACCGCTTGCTGGAGCAATAAAAATTTCAACATTGTCCTTAACTCGTCCTAGAAATCTCGTCGTCAGGCTAGTGGTGAGATTGTGGATTAGGTTCGAGAAATCCAGACGGCGCACAAATCGCCCAAGGTCACCTCTGGGGGCATACGCTTGAACGGACGGACAGACCGCTCGAGCGAAGTTATCGAAGTTCGCCCCGGATATATAGGGCTTCTCGTAGAGTAAAGGGAGCGCAGCTGAGTACCATATTCGGGATACCAAGCAGCATGAGTAGAGAGTGTGCTGGCGGATGGGCTGCTCTTGAAGATAGGAGAGGATGTGAAGGACGATCTCTACAGGGACAAATAAAGAGGTTTGGCCTTCAGATTGAGACATTATTAGACAGGGGATAAACAATATTAGTAGTCACATATTCAACGTGGTTGGCTGGTTGACTGGTGATGAGACGAGCCAAACGTGCGGATTGATGATTGATCCGAAATCATGGCCATAAATAACGTTTTGGTTTCGGGATGCCGTCAGCGGCTCAAAATATTTAGTCAGAGCTGAGTTGAGTTATTTACTCTCATTTAGTACTTAAATAATGAACTAGTCACGCCAACTGCACGCCTTTCTTTTATTTCTGGTTTTTTATTATTAGGCCACGGGACTGGGGCTATTCTTTGTTAAATATCCAATTGCGAGTGCTTTTCATAGCTAAAGCTCTCCGCAGTCCACAACCCCTTTTGGCTAACAATGCGACTTTTCTCCCTCCACCAACCACTTCGTCGATCGTTTTATAGCTGCCAGACATCGTCAATTCGAAGGCAATTCAGCTCCTCGGCCGCAACTCACCCTACAATACCCAATTTTGGTTTTGTTTTTGAGTAAGGCCGGAGCTCATTCTCCTTTCGAGCTGTAGCTCAGGGCTGACACGCACGACTAGCATAGATGGTGTTCTTCTCCGCTCATCGAGACCGCTCCCCGGAGCGGCTGAATCGCTCCAGCTCCTTAAAAAGGAAAAAATCCCCTTCGTTCTCTTAACAAATGGCGGAGGAATGCACGAGACAAAGAGAATTGCGCAATTGAGCGAACGTCTTCATGTGGCTCTAGACGCCGACACGATCATCCAAAGCCACACCCCTTTCGCAGATTTGGTAAAAGGTAATAAAGTGCAGGGCGCGCTGGAGAACAAATGTGTTTTGATTGTTGGTGGAGGGGATGGGGAGTGTCGTTCTGTCGCACAAGAGTATGGCATCCTTATATCCTAGGCTCTTGTATCTGTTCGAGCATTTTCTAACAGCTGGCAGGTACGGATTCAAGAATGTCGTGACCCCTGCAGATATCTTCCGATCGCACCCTGAGATTTGGCCGTTTTCTCATGCCTTTAATGACTACTACGGACGGTTTGCAAGCCAACTTCCACGGAGGATAGACCCAATTGACCCGTCCAAAAGCCTTAAGATCGATGCAATACTGGTTTTTAATGACCCTAGAGACTGGGCTTTGGATATCCAAATCATCATCGATCTACTACTTTCGTCCCAAGGTATTGTCGGGACTTATTCTGCAAAAAATAATAGCCCAGACCTACCGAACCGGGGTTATCAGCAAGATGACCAGCCGCCATTGTACTTTTCCAACCCTGATCTCCTATGGGCTGCGCAATACCATCAGCCAAGACTGGGTCAAGGAGCATTTAAAGCGTCGCTTGAAGGGGTGTGGGCAGCAATGACCGGAGGAGCCTCATTAGCGATGACGGTCATTGGGAAACCATGTGAACTAACATATAGGTTTGCTGAGAAGAGGTTGAACCAGGAAAGGGAGAAGATGTTTCACGTCGAGGATTTACAACCTCTTGAGGCGGTGTATATGATCGGTGACAACCCTGAGTCTGATATCCGAGGGGCCAATTCGTACAAGAGCCCCTTCGGAACCAAGTGGAATTCTATTCTATTAAGAAGTGGTGTATACTCGGGTGGGACACCGACTTGGCCACCGAAGGTCATCGTTGACGGAGTGAAGCAGGCCGTTGACTGGAGCTTAGTCCAGTCGCAGTGGCCTCGTAACTGAGTTTATCTTGTTTAGAGCACCTCATTCTAGTTCTTTGTCCTGTAATCTAGCGTTGGTTTAATCTTTTTTATAGATTTGTTGTTCTAGACTCTTTGCGTCTGGCATTGTAGAGTAGATAGATTTTTTAAAGAATAAATATATAAAATTCCATACTTTAACACACAATTTTGTCACTACATACAAACTAAGTAAAATGAATATATCTCCCGCAGGTATTGACGAAAATAAAGTCCATATATTACATTCCATGCTGCCATCGAGAGAGCAGTTTGACTCCCTGCCTCCAGGGTTAGGTAGGGCTTAGGGCTAGTTTCAAATTTGGTGGGGTTGGCTGAAGACTGACTTGACTCCCTCCTTTCCGCACGTAAAAGAGATCATCAACCACGCCAACTGCTTCCCTTAGCAATAGAAACCTCCAATTGCCAATTACCGCCGCAAGTCCAACGAAAGCGACCATGGAGCAACAATCCACGCTCCCTATCCATCCAAAAGGCGACGGCGGCCAGCCCGAGAAAGCCCCTGCTTCCCAACCCTCCACCGAAGGCGCCGCTCTCCCAAGCAAAAGCGCGCTCAAGAAAGCCGCGAAAGAGAGGGAAAAAGCAGAGAAAGCAGCTAAACGTGCTGCTCAGGAACAAGCAGCTGCACAAGCCAGCCAGGCTGCAGACTTCTCGAAACACCTCTACGGAGCTATCCCAGATTCTGCCGACCAGGTCCAAGTGAAGAACCTCGTAGATCTCTCTGAAGAACTCTTCGAAAAGGAAGTCACAGTCGTTGCGCGTGTGGACAATGCCCGGGTACAGAGCGCGAAGCTGGCGTTCCTGATGCTGCGGCAACAGGGTAAAAAGGTACAGGCAGTGGTGAGCGCGAGTGACGAAATATCGAGACCTATGGTGAAATGGATTGGAGGGATAAATGTCAACTCCATCGTTCAAGTCACCGCTGTCGTTAAGAAACCCGAAATCCCAGTATCATCAGCCACATTGAGTCACCTGGAACTGCATATTCGGAAAGCCTACATGGTTGCCCAAGCGGCGCAAATGCTGCCTATGCAGGTCAAGGACGCGGAACGACCGCCACCTGAATCCGTTACGGAAGAAGTTGACTCAGAAACCCCATATGTCACGCTGAAAACTCGCCTTGATAACCGTGTTCTTGACCTCCAGACTGAAACGAACCAGGCAATTACCTGGATTTCTAGCGGTGTTGCCCAATTATTTACGGAATACATGTTGAAGAGCGGTTCACGATGGATTTCTACTCCAAAACTCACTGGGAATGCGTCTGAAGGTGGTGCTGGAGTGTTCGAAGTGACCTACTTTAAGAAAAAGGCGTATTTGGCGCAGAGTCCGCAGTTATATAAACAGATGTGCATTGCAGGAGATCTGGGCAGTGTTTTTGAAGTTGGTCCTGTGTTTAGAGCTGAGGAAAGCAACACTCATAGACATTTAACAGAGGTGAGTACTGGTGAAAGCTTTTGTTCTTGGTGGCTGTATCGCGCGCAAGCTAACAAGTCTATTTCTAGTTTATTGGTCTCGATTTCGAGAAAACCTTCCAGAGCCATTACCACGAAGTCTTGGAATTTGCCGAAGACCTTCTGGTCTTTATCTTGAGCCAATTAAAGGAACGCTTCAAAAAGGAAATTGAAGTAATCCAGCGCTCGTACCCAAAAGCCGGCGACTTTAAGCTCCCTAAAGATGGAAAGGCGCTTCGGCTGAAGTACATGGAGGGTGTGGCACTTTTGAAGGAAGCAGGAGTGGATGTCACTGAACAAGAAAAATTTGAGAACGACCTCACCACTGCAATGGAAAAGCAGCTTGGCCGCATTATCCGAGAGAAATACGATACAGACTTCTACGTCCTGGACAAGTTCCCCATGGCTGTCAGACCGTTCTACACGAAACCCTGTCCTGACGACCCCACGTTCTCCAATTCGTACGATTTCTTTATGAGAGGAGAGGAAATTATGTCCGGCGCACAGCGAATTAACGAAGCGAAGGAACTTGAAGCTGCAATGACGGCCAAAGGTCTTGACCCCAACGGTGAAGGGTTTGAAGACTACATCGGGGCATTTAGACAGGGGTGCCCTCCTCATGCTGGTGGTGGACTTGGCCTGAACCGCATTGTTATGTTTTTCCTGGGTCTTCCCAATATTCGATTAGCAACACTATTTCCTCGTGATCCTCAGCGTCTCCGCCCATAAGCATGAATGTTTTCTAATCAAGGTAAGGGGCAGTAGAAGTGGTGGATGAGAGACAGATTTTCTCACATTTAAATTCAGATGAAATAAAGAGATGACAAAATTTACATTTATAAATGATGTTCTTCAGTACCGTGACTACCACGGAATCAATGCATTTGTAACCGTGTCTATACCATAGTCTCCATTCTGTGCTTTCGTTACCTCTAGAGCACTCTGTAAATTGAATCTAGATGCGTAGGTATGGTGGAGTTGAATTGCGCTAGAGTGCCGAGGTGGCCCAAGCTCCCAGGGCACATCCAACCGCATGTGGCCACAGGAGCTTTGGGGATACAACCAACACTCCAGAAGGCAGAAGGGAATACCTTCTTGCATTACATATAGGCATGTCTGAAAAACGCAAGGCCCCTTCCACAGAATCGAGCAGTTCTCCCTACGCTAAAAGGGCCCGTCCTACCGACCCGAACGATGATTCCTCGCCCGCAACCCCAATAACTCCAACCACGACACGTCCCCAACCCAGGAATGACCCCGTCTACGGGCAGAAGCACGCATTTCCGGGACTAGACGATCCTGTAGATGAGGATCAATTATTCTATGGGCCTGCGGAGGATGGTATCGAGTATCTGCGTATGGTCCGGTATGCAGCTTTCCTTTTCCTCCACTATCATAAACTGTTTCTACGTCGCCTCAGGCGTTCACAAAGAAAAACATTAAACTACCCATTGCTAAGACAATTTCCCGTCCATCTGGCTATTTCTCTATCCGTGCAGTTTTCTTACAACCGGAAAGTGATGCTGATGGCTATTTCGCGCCGTACGCTATGCGTTGCGTGACGTCTTTGATTCTAGATCTGAAGCACGAACATTGCCAGCGATATTTGTCTCCAGAACTGTCCTTCAACAAAGGGACAACACAAGAGTCCCTGTCACTGACGCCAGAGACCAAATCAATGACTATGGTGCTGTCCTCGACGTAGAAGCAAACACCGGCCACACCGGCTTTTACTCCGACGGAGTCTACGTCGCGTATTCCTCCACTCCAAAACACCTTCAAACCAGCGCAGCATCCCACACAAGCTCCTCCGATCCACAAGAAATATATTACAGCCTACTTCACCACCGCTTCCTCCTCCTCCGCTCAACCCTAAAATGCACACCACCAGCCTCCGTGATCGCTTCTTTAGGCCCGCAACGGCCCATCACTTTCCCCCGGTCCAACAAGCGCGCTAGGGCGGAATGGGAGCAAATTATACAGACGATGGATCCGCGCATGGCGCAGTTGGCGTGCATGGATATGGAGAGTGTTCTCAGGCTTCTTGCCATTGTGACACGCTTGTTATCTAAGACAGTTAGGGGCGGCGAAAGCGCACAGGTGAAGAGGCTCGGTGCGTGGGCATGGGGTCTTTTGGGCCGCTGTAGAGCTGTGGGGGAGATGGGGAGCGAGGAGGTCGGGGATATTAGGGAGCTGGGGAAGAGGGCTGCTAGGATTTTGGTGAAGGTTCGGGAGAGTGAAGCGGTATACGTTCAGGGTATGGAGGGTGGGGAGGGAGGAGAAGGGGAAGAAGAAGAAGCTGAAGAAACTGAAGGAGAGCAAGAGGAGCCGGGATATGGTGCCAGGGAAAACATTAATGAGAATGGGGATGTGGATGCGGGTGAGAACCAAGTGGATGAATTGAATATTACGGACGATGTTGTTAGTACTAGTGGGGCCAACACGGAACATATAACAGCACACGGAGAAGCAGATGGAGAAATTATACCACCCACTAACGGCGTGCATGCCCAGGACGAGCTCGAAGCAGCCAAAGCGCGCCTCCAGGCAAGACTACACCAGCAACAAGACGGGGATACGTTGGAGCCCGGGGGAAATATAATCGAGGGACAAGAGGCCAATGACAATGATTACGATGAAGAAGAGGAGGAGGAAGAAGAAGGCGAGGTGGACGATGATTACGAATTTAAAAACGCTCAGCAATATACCCGTGCCATGCTTGATATGATCATTAGTGTGATTGGGGAATTCTACGGACAGAGAGATCTGCTTGAGTTTCGGGATATATGGGAGGAAGACTTTGATGTTGCGTGGTAGTTAGATTTGCCCACGTTGAAATTAACAATATTTTTCGCTGACAAGGGTGTATACAATGTAAGATCATCCGTCTAGTCTTATATTTTAACGAATATGGCCATGCCATAGTTCATGCTGATGGCTTGAGCTCAAGCAACGTTCCGAAGAGGGGTGGTGCTGCTGATGATTTGAAGCCTAAATTTATCTACGAAGGGAGTGAGGAATGACGAATAAGGGTAGCTGCGAATATTGATGCCAAAGTAGCCCAAACCTAACGTCTCTAAAACGTCTCTAAATATGCAAGGCTATCATCATAGTGGTATCAAAGAAGCAGAAGAAAACAACGGGTAATCAATCGTGGTTACAGAACTGAGAATGCTAGACATCACAGAGCAAGGATGTGAGCAAGACGAATCGAGCGAATACACCCAAACCACTCCGGCCATAGACTCTAACTCCAGCCAAGGGGTCGCTCGTGGTAAACCATCCTTTCATAAATATCCCACATTCATTTTCCACTACCCCAGTTCTCATTATTTTTCTTCCGAAGCATTCTTGAGCACTTGCGTCGTCAAATCATCTTGTACCCATCCCTCGATGCGAGCAGCTACATCTCCCACTAGCCGATCATATGCCGCGTTTCGAGAAACGAACAGGGACTGGTGAGCGGTAACTTCGTCTACTCCTTCCATATAAACCCGCACCCACAATGGATCCCGCTCACCATCTGCTTCCCTTGGAGGGAGTGCACAGAATTTCCGGTCTTTCTTGGGTTTGGAAGGAGTGCTTGGATTGATATCAGGCGTGTTGCAGGCTGACTCAACCTCTTTGATACCGTTTGGTAAGGCTCCGCTCGTTGGAGATGAGTTGTAGTTGTAGTTATGGTTGGTTGGAGAGGATGTGGGAAATAAGATCTCTTTATTTCTCTGCAACTGTTCCTTTTCCGCAGCTCGCTCCTGCTTGCTGGTGAGTTTTTTGTGAGCTTTCATTTTCTTTTCCCTTTCTTTCACTGCCTTTTCATACGTTTTCATTTGGCGAGAGTGGTCTTTCTGCGCTTCCTTTAAGAGTGCCTTTGAACCGTACAGAGAAGGGTCGAACTCTGGCGGCTGGTTTGGCGGAGGCGGGAAGTCAGGATATGTATCTTCCACTGGGGCCGTATTGGTATTTTCTGGCGGGCTGTGAGCTTGTTCTATTACTAATTGTAGAGTTTCTGGGCTGCCTTCTCCTTCATTTCTTCCTTGCGAGAAGCCCAGTGAATCTCCAGTCTTTTCCTCCGTTGGTCTTCGAGGATCGACGGATAATGATCTAACGTGGCCAGGCTCAGGGGAGGATATCGACCCCGGAGCCATCGACCTGCCTTCCAGCCCGCTTGCATTAGTTACACTGTCATTGTTATTTTCACTAGCGGGCGATTTAATTTTTCCTGTGGCAGCGGTATAATAGTTAACAAATCTAATACGGCGAAATGGCCGGCCGCTGCCATCCAGCTTTGGGTTGCACCCGTCAATGTCTTCTAATTCTCTCAGGCGCCTGTATCGTCGCTTGAGACCAGGGTAGTCGGCGATACACAAGCCAAACTCCACATGCGAGGAAATATATTTCCTAGTCGCATCCACAAGCTGGTTGGAATTTTTGAATATAAAATTCAAGGCTCCATCAAGTTGTGATCGCTCTGTAAGTCGGATGTCATTTGGGAACATCGGGTCGAAGTTAGGATCATGAGCGGAAGAAATGTAGGGCGCCATGATGGAGGAGTCAACGGGAAAAGGCTGGTTCTGTGGGTCGTTCTTCTTCTTCTTCTTGTCTTTGGGTCTAAACAAACTCCCGATGCCGCTGGCAACGACACCATGATGGAGGCCTAGGAATGGGACGTCCAAGTTGATAGTCCCCATTATGCGATGCCTAAACATTTCCAGGACCTGTGGATCAGACGGCCCCAGGAGGGCAATCTCTGCTGCAAGAATTCCACCCAAGCTGTGTCCAACCAACACTATGTCTGTATTAGGGGATTCATGAGGTGTTAACCTATCAAACTCAAGTGATAATTAGTGACAATATCCATTATCAAAACGAATCGTAAGGAGTAGCCACTCACCAATAACTAAAATCATCCCTAACAAATTCGATCGCTTTCCTTGTCTTGTATCGGGGATAAATTTTGGAATGAACAACGTGCGATTCAGACAGCATAACAGTGAGCAGATTATGAACATGCGCTGGGAATTTTTTGAAGCTGGTATCCGATCCTACAAAGCCGTGGATGTAGACGAGCAACAGTGTCCTTCGCCCCTCTCGAATTGAGTAAACAGGAAGCAGAGATTGCATAGATGGTGAACGACTATCTTCTTTAACACGGGATCGAGTTGGCGAACGTCCTCTTCGTCCAGCTTGAGCATCATCATCATCACTGACGTATGGGAGGGGTGTTGAGTATGGAGTCAAATGAATGGTATCCCTCCTATGCACGGGGATCGGGATATCGAAATCTAGCGACCCTCCAGGCGACGCTGTCCTCTGAATATCTTGATCGGACATTTTCAGTAATAAAAGAGTTTATTTGTCTATGCAATGGAGGTTGGATCCATGGGGGGTCAGGGGTCTTAGAATGTATTAACTGCAGAAAAAAAGAAGCCAAAATGTCAAGGAATGGGACAGTCACGGACTGCAGGGTGCTGCTCAGCCTCATGAACTCCCAGCATGCGCAAGATGGACGTTTATTCACGTATACACAGCACCATCATCGACATCGGAGTCTGTTTGTAAATTGGCAAGTTGTTGCTGGTTGGGAACTTCGCGGGTAAACAACAGCCCCAGGAAGCGGAAGCGGGGACTCAGGGAAGCCAACGCAGGCGTTGGTCATTCAGGTAAGTTACCATGACGTATCATCCCATACAGAATTGGCTGGTTTGATACTTCTACGATACCTCGTTCGTGTCCATCGTCCCATCATCTCATCTCCAATAATTACTATACTTTTTTCTTCTTTTTGGGAATTTGGAAAATAAATGCGTATGTATGCAAAGTTCGACACGAAATGCCGCCCCGGTAGCAGCCTATTTCTGAGAGCTAGGCTTCGCTTAAAATTTAAGTTAAATAAGCTCCCTTTATTAAATAAGCTCTTGACTTCCCCCAATGCGTCATTGTTTTTTCCCGCGCATTCTCTATCTTGATCCAACGGCACCCAGCTGATCGGACACTGACAACCCAACCTCTGTCACAACTACATCTAGAACAACCCTCATCTCGCCTCGACTGGTATGCAATCAAACACGTCTTCATACGCCTTGACTTCCTCATCGCTCCTAGGCCTTCTTCCATCCTAGCCATGGCTCCGGCCGTCGAAATATCCATCCCAACCACCTCCCTCTCCAGCCCCCCGAACCCTTACACCATCTACAACATCACCATCCGACTCCCACTCCGCACATTCACTATCCAGAAGCGCTATTCAGAATTCCTCGCCTTCCATTCCTCATTAACGAGCCAAGTAACCGCTCCCCCACCCGCCCCCCTGCCTGGAAAATCGTGGTTCGTGAACACGAACTCAAACCCAGCTTATCGAGAGAAGCGCCGGGAGGGTCTAGAAACATATCTGCGTGCCATAAACGAGGCTGAAGATCCACAATGGCGTAATTCAAGTGCATGGCGGGCTTTTCTCAACCTCCCCAGCGCCGCTCTGAGCAACGGCTCCGCCCGTACATCGTTCAAACATGCTGCAGCCACAACGCCCGGTGCAGGTGGCACTGCAGGCCCCATCACGGACCCGACAACCTGGCTCGATTGCTATCGCGATGTCAAGTCACAGCTACACGATGCCAGGCTCCATCTCACCCGCCGCGATCAGGCTGCTACTCCACAGAAACAACACGAGTGCTCCGCGCAGGCGAAGAGCAGTCTTGTTCGCGTGGGAACGCTCCTGACTGGCTTGGATGATGGGTTGAAGAATTTGGGCGATGGATCTACCTGGGGTGGGAGTAAACTGGGGAGCGGCGAGCTGAGGCGGAGGAAAGACCTGCTCTCCAGTGCTCGGAAGGAAAAAGATGGGCTGGAAAATTTGTTGAACGCCATGACCGCCAAGGCGAAGTTGGATAATGCGATTGCATCTGCGCAGGATAAGGAGGCGCTTGTTGGAGCGGCAAAGCCCAGGCCAGGCCGCGTACTGGGCAAGGAGACGGAGCAGACGAGGGAGCTGGATAATCAGGGCGTGTTGCAGTTACAGAAGCAGATCATGGAGAATCAGGATCTGAACTTGGAGGAGTTGCGGAAGGTTATAGCCCGCCAGAAAGAATTAGGGGTTGCTATTCATAATGAGTTGGAGATTCAGAATGAGATGCTTAAGATGGTGGATGAGGATGCGGAGAGGTTAGTGGTGATTCTTTTCTTACCTTTCCTGTTCAGATATGTGATATACAAGAATATTATTGTCTGCTATTAGGATGGTCTACTAACAAGTTGCCATATGCAGAGTAAATCGCAAGGTCCAAATTGGGAAGAAGAGAATAGGAAAGATATCCTAGATTGCCTTCCGTTTGCAACCTTGAAGGGCCTTTGCGATGTTTTTGCGAGAGCATTCGATTTAGCGAGCTGCAATGGATTGATTTCAATGGCGTTTGTTTTGAAAGTTCCCCATTATTTTCACCCAGGGTTCTTGGATTATAATAAATGCCAGACTAGAATATTAATAAACCGATTTCATGTAATTACCCAAGCCATTAAATCATCCCATTAGGGACATGAACGAAACCAGACTCCCATGTATCCCATATCCCTCCTGAATCATGCCAAATTTGCGCCAACGCCCGACACATTGCTCATTTCGCGGATAAAAACTGTCCGAATGTTAGGAAATGTCCTTACGGCCATCCGAATGTAAAACATGAAATAGGCAGCGGCTACTTACCGCCCGAGCTTCTTCCTCCGTCACGTCAGAAAGTTCAGAGAGCTTCTTATCAATCAGCCCAAGCCTATTCTTCCGTATATACCACCACATCTCACGCCTATCCCCTCCAAGGTCGTTCCCTAGCAGCTTCACTTTCAAGCCACGGATGAAGTCATTATAGAGGGCTGGTTCCTCAAAGGCAACCAGTTCCTCTTTCATGGTTCCCAAGCCTTCAACAGCCCGATCATAGTTGGCATCTCCTAGGCTGTGTCTGATTTGGCTTTCGATTATGGCGGACATTTGTTTCACAGCATCCTTGACAGCACCAAGGTCCTGCGAACTAACCAATAGTTGCTTGAATTCAGGTATAGCATTGTTAGCAGATATCTTGACTCGTTTCTCTGTCTGCAGGAGCTCTTCGACGTTTAAGCCTGAGAGTGGCTTGTCTGTGTCCCGGTCGCGTTTGCGGCCCTTGGCTTTGGGTGGGACTGTGATAAAAAAAGTGTTAGACACGAAAATATATGCAGTGGCATTCCCAGAAAATAATAACATACCTTTTTTAACATCCGAAGCTGCTATGAGCTTAGCAAGGGTGTCTTTGCTTTGAGCTTGGAGGTCCTCCGGCTGGTGTGACAACTTCTGAAGGATCTCCGGCACTGGGGGAAGGGGCTCAGACGGGTGGACCGCACGCCACCGAATAGCCTGGTCGATTCGATGCAGAAGTGGTGAAAAAGAGTCTTCTATCGACATAGACTCAACGGTCTCCCTACCTAGAATAAGTAATCTAGATCGCTTGAAAGGGTATTTTCCTTCACTCACCCATCTTCATCTTTTTCAGTGAGCTCCAAGCTATCGACATAATCGGCCATCCTGGAAAGCAGATTATTATTCGGAAGGTTCCGATGTTCAGTCACGGTTTTTCCCGAGACTGTGATGACTTTATCTAACGGTGGGAAGCGGTAGGAGCGCACGTCTTCTGCAAAAGGCAACTGTACCTCGAGGAGACACTCGTAATCAGCCTCTATCGAGGGTGCAAGAAGGACCACCAGTGGAGCCTTGCCAGCCTTTGGAACTAGCCTCCCCACAGCACAGCATTCAAGTTCGAACAAGGCGTGGATTATTGACGAAAGCGCAAGGATTGCTTTATTATTCGTCTTTTGTGCAATTATAATATTAGATGTCGACATGTTCATGTAGCGGTCATACTGTGTTTCTATGAATTAACGGGCTTGCATGTGTTCAGATATTGAAAGGGGATTTACGTACTTTGTCACTTGGGATGAATCCTATGAACTCTAGGGCAGCGTCCGTTTCCAGTTTGGTGATGTTTTCATCTGATTCGGTGATATGCACAGCAGTGCGTCCATACTCATATCCCTTGGCAAGTTCATCTCGCTCAACGTCTCGCTTGCCTCCAGCAGCTTCTTCGTCATTAACCTGGTAAGTCCGAGCGTTTCTCACTGAAGTTAATGCAGAAGCTACAGCTCCTCCTTCCTGGCTCGACTCCTTGGCCGCTAGAGTGGCCGACGATTGAGTGGTCTCTTGTCCTTCTGACAACACAGCAGAGGAAACAAATGAGCTTGCAGCTGGTGGCCGAGCCGCGTAGGTTCGGTAGTATCTTTCCACCTGGATTGATAAGGCAGATGAATATTGCTCTGGATCCCCCAACCTTAAATCGCCTTTAAAAGTGGGCATTGATCGTACAACCTTGGTTCGAGGAATCTCCATCTCGGAAATCGCATGTTCTAAGGTACCGTATATACCCTCGCAATCTTCGACAAGTTGTTTCAGATGGTTTTCATTTTTGGCCTGGGGGTTGGTCACTATAGCCATTCTTGTGCATTATACGGCAGAGAACCTTACCTTCAATGGATCCTTATCTTCTTCTTTGAACCCATATTCTGGATCATCAAAATCGACTCCCCTTCTTCAGTTAGCTGTGGTTGTGTTGCGAAAGGGGATACCTAACTCACAGTATGACAAGCTCAATATTTTCCTCATTAATTTTGCTCACAATCCCCTCGATCCCATCTATATCCATAGCGCCTGTTCCATCTGTAACGAGGACAATCTTTCTTTTGTACTTCAATTTCTTGCAATATCGGACAATCATATCGATTGCCAAGATTAGGGATGATATTGCTATAGGAGTATGAGAGACAAGTCTAAAAGAACAAAAGAAAAAGAAAAAGATTCAAATCGATATATTACACAT